CGATACAGTTCGCATCAATTCGGTACGAATTCGCAAAATAAGGGTAAAACGCGAATTGTTGCATCATTTTTACGCTTAAAAGTTGCGATTCGTCAATTCGTCTTTAGACACTTTGTCCACACATCTCAACCGAAAATAACCAACCACTTTAGATTAACTTGGTTTTTAGTTCTTTGATATAGGTTTACATTAGAAGTAGACAAGGAAGGTCTTTGTCCTGACGTTTTAGTACTTCTGTGTAGTGGCATGGATGCACTTCAAACTTGTGTGGTATTCAAATTCAGTAGATAAAATCCTGAGACTCATGATGAAAGGTGCAAGATTTTTGTTTAAAAAAGTCAAATTACTCTGACAACAGTGATTGATGAGATATTCGCTGATGCCGCCACTCAACAGCCGTTTTGGTGCAATGCAGTGTAGACTGTCACTATAGCAGATGCACTCCCTAGTGAATGTACTCAAGTGTGAGTACTCAAAAAGTACCCTGCTGGAAAAACGGGACGAGTATTCATACGTACTCATACATTTTTTTACTCACATGAGTACTCATGAGTGAGTAACGAGTACTATGGGTACAACTTTGAGTATTCATGCTTGGGTATTGTTTACTCATACAACTTTCGGCAAACACTCATGAGTATTGTTCATCTGATATTTTCAAATAGAGAAGTGATCTCAGGTAGCCAGAGTAGGACTACTCTCTAAAAAATAAAGGTATTATAAAATACGAAAAATGGTATAACCATTTGAAACATATCATAACTGTTTAAACGTTTTTTACTTTTATCAGAAAACTCCTTTGAGATTTTTAGAAAATGAAAAAGCCGTGATTTAAAAAATCCTGAATTGCTTTGGGATTTTAAAATACCTGAAAGGTTTTTTTGTGACATGAAGAAATCTCAACCGTTTTTCAGAATATAATTTAGCCGTATTTTAGAAAACGAAAATTAGTTTTTTGATAAGAATAAGAAACTTTTAAACAGTTATGATATGTTTCAAATGGTTAAACCCTTTAAACGTTTTTCACAGGTGGTTATACCTTTTTTTTGGTTTTTCTCAAATGGAGAATACTTTTTAGGGTTTTTTGAAATACCTTTTTTTTTTAGAGTGTAGTCAATATTGATTCACAACGATTTTATACAGTATTTTATTCGTTATTAGCATGTAGTTCATATAATAATAATAGTGATGATGATGATGATGCTATAGATCTAATTATACATTTGATACTCTTTATATACTATTGATAAAAGAAACAATTATCAAACCAAGAATTATTAAAATTTATTAAATTTTTAACAATAATATCTTTACATTTGACATGTTTCTATTCAATATCGACTATATTTGAAATGATTAAATCTCTACTCACAGTATCAACACAACTCTAGCAAGAAATCCTACCAGGATCCTTTCAGGAATTCGTTTACTTTTAAGTAGGATCCTAGCAAATTCTATAGAATCCTAATGAAACCCGAGATACCCGAAAGCCGTAGAATTTGCTAGGATTCTATTAGGATCCGAATAGGACTCTAACAAGAAAATGTAATGATTCACTCCTAGATAAAATCATGTACACTTCCTACTTATTTCCTATTACAATTTCTAATGTTAAGATCCTATAAGATCGTAGTAGGAAATAGATAGGGAGTGCGTAGGATTTTGTCTAGGGAAACAACTGAAAGTGGAGTAATCGGATCATGTATGAATTGTGTAATGAAAATACATGATTCAGATTATTGTCATACACAAAATTCCACATTCCACGAATTATATTTAATTAATAAACTTTTTGATACAAACACGAGATGTAATGTGTGTCAACAATAATATGATTGTTATAAAAATTTTGCTAGGATTATGGAGATAAAAAAAGTCGTTTACAATGCGGACATCTTGAAGAAGATCGATTTAAATCTAGTCGGAAAAAGTGAGTGTCTTTTAGTTCTTTCGAAGAAGAGTTTAATCAAGTTTGTTGTGAATATCTTAGAGAAAATCTGCTACAAAACTAATGTGTCTGTAGAAGACTGATTAGTAAGAGGTTCAAGTGGATTATAGATCGTCTTTGAATTGATAATGGCATTTCTCTTTGATATTACAATTCGGAACATATCATATGTGTATATATCAATATTTAATTTCAATAAAATGTTTCATCAAAGTATCATGACGAACCATAAAAAAAGTAGTTTAATTTTCTTGAATTATTATGATGAATCATTCAATAGAGTTTTGCGTAAGAGAGCTCCACTAGAAGATAATGAACCAACGACACTGAGTATTATTTTTGTCATTTAACTACCTTACTAAATATGTCTATTACTGACAAATCGATTGTTATAAAATGAGTTTATCAAAATTAGTTCTAATCAAGTAGTTATGAAATCTTATAATATTCACAGCTCATTTGTTGTCCATTTGTTTCTACTATCATGAGTCCTATTGCTCAGCATAACGGTGGTGTGCTAACTGAGATAGCAAGAAAACAAATTACTTGATGATATTTGAAACACAACCCAACGAATTAAGAAAAGCCAGTTCGATTCGATTCTGAATAACATTTTCAATACCTAAATTGTTTAATTCGACTTAATCTTAGTTTTCAAATGTTTTTTTAGTATAAACTGAGTCAAGTTAGCACATTTAGGCAGAACATGTGATGTATGTGAATAGAAGTTTTCCTAGTGAAAGTACTCATAACATGAGTACTCGTCACATTTTTCAGCTGAGTACGATTATAAGTGTACTCAGGCTTGAGTACATTTACTAGGGATCCACACATCCCATAAAACAATTCTGATAACTCTAACACACGTTAGCAAGTGTTACAAACTCTAAGTCGTTAAAACTACAGAATAAGAAATATTTAACGCATTAAGTCGCTTACCTAGAGGATTAGAGCTTTTAAATTTTCATGAAGAATGAGCTTGAACGTAGTTTTTATCTTTTTCTTATAGAAGCGCGTTGAACGTGTTAGAATTAATTCTTACGGGTTAGATTTTTCAAGTCCCATATAAGTTTGAAAGATAATGAATTTACATGCATTCGATAGCGATTAATTCGTACGTGTTCGTCAAATTAATTTTCTTTTAATGCAAGGTAACGTGCGTTAGAATATCAAAATTATTTTCATAGGACGAATCAAACCAAAATGAACAAAGAAAAGTTATAAACAAGAAAAATCTTGTTCATAAAATAGTGTTTCCGTTTATTATTCTCAATCGTATGTAAAAGTAATATGTTGACCGTTTATGGATTTTAGCGTGAGCGACTCAAAGAGCAGAAATTAAGTTCGGTTCAATTCATTTTTTTATCAAGCTGCATTATATTTACGGAAAGCCCCCAAAGACATTCCTGCTGCTTTTTTGCAGATTTTTCTAGTTTTCTATACATTCGTTATTTTGCCAATAAGTCTATTAAACTAAATGTTTGAAACAACGTACTATAGATTATTTTGCAGCTCTTTCGATTCTGCATTTTTCTAAATACAAACTCTTCCTAATTTCTATTTGTGAAAGAAATTGCGATTATTTTTATATATTACTATGAGTAAAAACCGAGGTATCTATCCAATATTTAGCCAATAAATCTATGAGGACAAACTTTTAAAACAAAATATTGTAGTTCATTCTGAATCCCAGAAAATTCTCTATCTTTCTATGTATGAGCTTTGGTCAAAGTCTTTGAAATCGTACAAAAAATTTGAGAAACAATGTGAATGACCTTCATTGAACTTGTAAGAAATCATTTTTTCAAGGAGATTAGGAGCAGTTTTTGAAAGACAAAAGTGTTGGGAAGTGAAAAGAGAAGCATTTCTGGCCATTTTTATTCAAAATCATATTTTATCATTTTTTAGCAGAAACCGTTTTCGGTCCTTTATGCTGAAAATGCCAGTCGGATATTAACAAGTTATGACAATCAATATGAGTCCAGTTCGATCTGATCAGATAAATTCGGATTAATTAAACAAGATTTATATGATATGACCAAACTGTTTCATATCAGTATTTGTAATAAGGATAACAAAAAGATGGTCGTTCGTTGACGGACGTATGCAGAAAATCTGCGCTATTAAACAGTCTTGATTCCTTTTTGTTTTCTTTTATAAAAATCAAGATACGGTAAATATATATTTCATAACAAGTTGAGGCACAAAAAATAGAAAATTCTTTATATTCATAATCCAACATCATAGGTTCGCACCACATTTTCATATGTGTTTTTGTACATAACTAATTTAGAGATAAATATATTTTCATTCTCATTATCTTGTGATCCTGTACTATCATGGTTTTGTGTTATTGTTCCACCATTTTCTATTTCTATCCTGTTGGTAGTAGCAGTACTGCCTGTTGTATTTGTCATCTGAATATTTCTATTTCGTTTTCGAGCTAAAGCTTTCGATAATAATTTCATTACGGCATTATAAAATTCTTCACGAAATCGTCTATTTGTCAAGACGTATAGGAAAAAATTCGAAGAAAAAAACGTTATTTGAAGAATATCGAGTAATTGCTGAATAAAATTTCGTAAACAAATATCTTGCAAACGTTGTACAATAAATGTTACATAAATATTATAGGGTAAATTCATAAATAGAAACAAAATGTTTAACGCGATTAACATTGCACTTAAATGTAAATCTCTTGTTCGACGATATTTCATTTGTTTTGTTTCTATTTTTTTTGTTTTTGATGGTATTGGTGCTATTTCAATTGTCTGATCATGATTCAACTGGTCGGCTTCTAATTCAAATCTCATTAGACCATTTTGTTTTGTTCGACCAAATTTTAAACGAATTTGATTTTGTTTTCGACATTGCCATAAACAACAGAAACAACGATGAATAGTCGATGATGATGTCAAAGATAATTTTGGTCTATTTGAAACGACAGTTGACGATTTGGAGTTGTAACGTTTTGCTGTTTGCATACGCAAACGTAAACTTCGTACAATGATGATTGTACAGAAGATATTAATAAATAATGGAATACAAAAAAAGACAGCTAATTCAAATGGTGGATAAAATGAGCGTAAAAAATATAAATAAAATACTGATGTACGGTTCTCTTCATAACTACATAGTGTACGTTTACCATTTAAACCTGTAATTTATAAAAATATTTAAAAGAACATTAGTTGAGGAATTATTGGTTCTTTTAATAAAAAAAGGCATTTCCGGTAATTCCCTTATTTTCAACTTCTCGTTTCCTCTTTCTTTATTGTATCATCGTGATGATATAAATAAAAGTTAAATAGTATTTGCTCGTCGGTGACTTACCCGGTACATGTCCAAACTTGAGTAGCCAATGTAAATGGATCAAACATAGTGCACTGACTAAAATCAATTCTTTCAGTAGAACTGTTTTAAATTCTGATTTCTTATATTTTGCATTTCGTTTCGTTATTGTTACTGTTCGTGCACGATCAATATTCACGGCTATTAGGGTAAATAAACTAAAATGTGTTAACGTATCTAATCCAAAACGATAAAATCGACAAAAAAATAATGGTCCTGTTTCAGCGGTTAATTTCCAATAGAATGCAAACATATATTGACTAAATCGTACAATTGATAACAGAGCATTAGAAAGTGATAAAAGTGCTAAATAGGCAAATGTTGAATGACGACGTAATGATTTTTGCATTAAAACACCAAATGCAAGGAAATTAGATATTGAACCAAATAGAAATATTGAATAATTATGAATATATAATACAGGACGTAAAATTTGTCTTAAATTTGGACATGGATTATCATTGTTGGGATGTAGATCTGTAATATTTGTAATTTCATTCATGTTTGTTGTTATTTAGTTAATGATTTTGATATGATTTTGTTGATCATATCTGCTACAACAAGAGAACATATATTAATAATAATTATGTGTCCTATTTATGAAAGAGAAGAAATATAAATGACGAGAGATGCTTGTTTGCGATTCCAGTACAGAATATTATAAAGCACTAGTAAAAAAAAGGAAACAGTTTTTGAAATTAAATATTGGTGAGATTAAGGAAACAGGAAACTTAAGTCATGAAGAATAGTTGATGATGCGACACGCGCACCTTTCACAATATAATATTTCCATTATAATTTTTTCAGCAACTTCTTATACGATAGAAACTATTTAACATTTCGATATGTCTCGAAAGACAGGGTACCGAGAGACATAATCTTTTAGAAGACCAACGAAACTGACATTTAAAGCTCATATCAATGCTGTCCATTACGGAAAATTTAACATGACTATTATTATTGATGTAAATCCGCCTAATTCTACTTATTAAGAGCGGAGCTAGTTACAGATCTATTTTTTTCATAGAAAACTTGTTAGATTGGCTACTGAGTCGTTTTCTTCTTTTCATTTTGAATAAATTAATTTTAATCAGTCAGTAGTGCCAAACCTTCTTTGATTACAGGTTGCCAAAAAGATAATCTTTCGAACACACATGTCGTGTGATCGACTAATCATACTTAAAAGAAAAATGAAAGAAATCTAGATCATGATTGTTTTTTTTTCTTTTACTTCTTTTAGGTTAAAAATATAATTTTTAGCCCTTCCTTACATACATCTATTGTACAAAATTAAGATTTTTTCTCAAGGAAAACACGTAAGCGGAATTTACTTTAAATCCATCTTGGAAAAGAGTAACGTTTAATGATGTGAAACTAGTGTATAGCAGAGTTGTAACGGTTGAGTGAGTTGGACCGGCCGGTTTTCACTGGTTTTTACCGGTTTCACAAAGTTATGGGTGGTTAGTAGCTTTTTTAAAGGAAAGAGAGAGTGACAATTTTATTTGAAAAATGTAAATTTTTTCTTTTTATTCTTTCAATTTGTTTTCAAAGACAAAGTCATATTATTTATTGTTTAAAATATCTTAGCAATCGGAACATTTGTCACGTATTGGCGTTTATATACTTTTATCTTTTTTCTTTAATGTTAATCAATCTAATTTTTTACTTTTGATATGCCGATACCGTAGCTTCCTAACCTAAATTCGTCTTAATTGACTTTGTTTATGACATAGTGAATCTCTTCCCAAATTTATTTTCAAATTATTCGTGACGTTTCGCCATTCGACAAATGACTGCTTTACATCATTACATTTACACACTACAAATTTTGTCCCTAATATCAATGTTATTACTTGAAAAAACTTGATGAACCCGCCGGTTTTTACCGGTCTGGAAATATTTTTAGCCCGGCCGGTGACTGGCCGGACCGGACCGGTCTAGTATTTCCAGACCGGTTACAACTCTAGTGTATAGTTTTGAAAATCGGTCTGCCTTCCGTTAGTGACATAATCTGAACCTGAATTCTTAGCTCAGGTTGTTTAGTTAGATCTCTCAAAACGTCCTTTTCATTCGTAGATCGATGATTATAGAGGTTTTTTTCTGTTGTCGCTAATCAATACTGAGATATTTGTTCATTTCGTGATTTTAACGTCCCATCTTCTGTTTCTCTACTAAAATGCGATCAAATAACCGCCACAATCTTGCTTATTCTGACGAAAAAAGTACTGAGGCATAACCATATATACTGAAGTTTTGATTAAAAAACGTCATTGCCTGGAATACAAATCGGGTAGAGGTAGAAAAACCTCTATCGTTTATCTTCTTTTTTTCTTAAACCTTGGAACAAAATTTTCGAATATACAGATCTATCTATGGGTAACTTTAATTATCTTGTTCAAAAAGTGGTCAAAGTCACTGATTAACATAAAATAGAGCAGTGATAACGAGTCTCATTTTTAATTAATGCTGGATTTCATTTAACGATATCTAACGTTCCGATATATTTCCGCCTTTACATAGAAATGGTTTCGGCGGAAGGAAATAATATTGCTAGCGCAAAAGAAAATTTCATATACATTGATGGCCTAGTGACAAGAATAACAATTTGTTGTGTTTACATTAAGTCAATAAAAAAGAAGACAGTTCGTCTGTAGACACGAGCTCCATACTGTTAACTGAATGTTGTTATTATCATTAAAATTTTAAAGAACTAATGATTTTTCGAAACTATATTCTAATCTTTCACATTCACGAACAAACTCATTTGACAATAATGAGTTTGTCTCATCATAAAAACGATACGATGGGCGGGTTTCAGTCGTGTAAAACTTGGTAGAACATACGTGAAAATACGCGATCAATAACACAAAGGGCATTCAGTGTACTTAAAGGATTAAGATAAAATATTCTCATTCCTAAATAATATTTTATCTACTTACAGCAGCTGATGAATATAAAAACTAATATTCATCATGTATCAAAATGCTTCAATTAAGTTATTATCAACAAGTCATGAATGGAGGAAGAAAAGTAAGAACAGCATGCTTTGCAGTTATCGTTATCGATGAAGGATGCTGACAAGTGTCAGTTTCCGTAACTGCACGTCGTTCCTAGAATTGATAAACTTCAGAAATGTTTACCTATATTTACCGCCTAGTCATCAACTGCAGCTCTGTCCGAAAGGCTAGTTTGAAGAGAGTTCTTTTCGATGAATTATTTGAGTTTTCCTTACACAGCCACTAACCGCATGCTAACTCATTCCGGAGTGCCACGACTAACTCTGTTACCAGAGTCAAATTGCATAACGAAATTTTCACATTTTGTTCTGTTTATATCTTAATGAAAGCATGTGCGGAGCTGCGGAACATCTAGAACCAACATGTAAGCCAAACATTGCTCTACAAAATGAGGCGTTTTGGGATCCTGCATGTCCCTTTCTTCACAATACTAATAGAAAATACTAAATGCTACCTTTCTAAAATAAAGTCTCAAAAGGGCGTTTTGTGTTTTTTGTTTGTATTGTGAAAAAAGGGACACGCAGGGTCCCAAAATCCCTCATTTTGTAGAGCAATGTTGGTTTACAATTTTAGATGTTCCGCAGCTCCACGCGCGCTTTCATTAAGGTACAAACAGAACAAAACGTGAAAATTTCGTAACGAAATTTGCCTCTGGTAGTAGAGTTAGCTGACCGTGTCGCACAGGAACCAATCATGGACTATATTGTATATCACAACACAGTGATTATGCTATCGAACGGGCGTTCTGAGCTACTAAAGCGTAAGTAATTTACCCAAGGTTATCGTAACCTTTGATGGTGTCGAGAGTCGAATACAGTACCCTTGAAGTGTGTGATAAGCAATATCAAATCATACTGTCTACAAGCGATATTTTCGAAGTATAAGAAGTAGACGGAAATGTACGACATGAACTATAAACTAATATTTGCGATTCTTCCTTCGTTAAAATTTAATCAGAAATTATTGGTATCTGATCGATGTGTTTCAACCTCTTTTTGACATGAACCCTTGTATCAGACATTTCCTGTGTAAATTTTATAGCAACGCTATTATATTCTAGTTCTGAATCGAAAACTGTTTTGTATGATACAGATAACACGTCCATTCATTTTTGTGAAAAGAAAAGAATACGAATGCAGGTTTGCAAATTATCATATATACATAGATAGATAGATAAATTAAGTTTACTAAGCCTCAGGGTATACATCTTATATTTTTGAAAAAATTTCCTGTCGATAGAAATTCTCTCAAGTGTTTTTTCAGCAAGGTTGAAACTTTTTGTTAGCTTGTTGAACGTATCTAAGTTATATTCAATATATTCCTTTTCATGTTCTTTAGAGAAAGAAGTAGTTTTGCGAAAACATTCATTTATAAATATAGTGAATCAACGCAAATATTATAGCAATTGAATGGTACTTTCTCTTTAAAGATTCTACAAAGCTTGACATACCAAAACTATTATTTTCGTAGCAACCGATGCAGAATTTTAAGCTTGTCAGGATATCGCTTCTTCTATGAATTGATTACTTTTGATTAAAAATGACAACTTTGAGAAATTTTTATGAAAGTTGAATGAGCCAACAGCTGAACTTTTCAATACCATGTTTAAATTGCACATTAAAACTATTTAACAGACATTTTATTCTAACACAGTGCTGACCAATAGATGTATTCCTGTTTTCTAGCATTATTTTTAATGCTGCAAAAAAACACACACCAATAAATGCTTGTCTTAATGTACCCATAAAATCTACATAAGACTTTCTATCTTTCAACCGTAAAACGAAACTTTTTAGTCGAGTTTAACTAGAAAAAAAACCTGTTATAAATATCAGTAATTTGATCTGGATCATCCGCTATACCTATGCGATCCCAGATTAAACAAAATTATTTCGCCGATGGCGTGTTCAATGAGAAACGTATTACGTGACTTGAAATTTGAATATAAGTAATATAAACTGAGCTAAGTATAAGAAATGAAAAGATGCTTTATAACCATCGTATAACATCACAAACTACCATAGTCAAACTTACTTTTTTATCATATAATCTCTTATGCATGAATATTTAGTTTTTTCTTCGAGTAGGAATTTGATAGTATGCATGTTTTAAAGATTAACAGAATATTTTCTCATCTTCAACGTATTAGGAGTTCTTCTATATTATCTTTTATGTGTTTTATCATTATAAATATTAAAAAAAAAATGTCATATCTAAAATCTCTATGCGTTAATGGAGAACTTTCTTTGAAAAATTCTTCTCGATAGTTTATAAAAACAAAAAACTCTTGAAATTTATAAATACATTCCCATCTAAATCTACAACATGTCATTTGATTATTGTAGGCAAATCTGAAGTAACAACTTGAACTGATCATCGAACAAAACTTACTTTAAAATATTTCGACTGAAGTAACATTTATTTGATTATCTGAAAATTTTTTGAACATACAACATCATCATACAAATAAGAATATATTTGTGCT